CCATTCCATTCCATTCCATTCTATTCTATTCTATTCTATTCTATTCTCTATCCTATTCTTTATCCTCCCATCCCTCTCCCTTCCCAGCCCTTCTCTTTCTAATTTCTTCCCTCCAAGCTTCCCCCTTCAGCCCGCTGCGTCTTTCCTCTGCGTTTCCAACGGCATCTTCCTGTTGTCATCTGCTGCAGAACTCCAGCAGGGTGAGAATCCCCAGGCCAGGAGCCGTTTCATTTTTTCAGCTTTTTATATATATTTTTATCATCATTATTTTTTGCAGCCCGGTCCTTCCCTCTTCCCTTCCTTCTGCCCCAGAAGTCCTCCACTTCGGGCAGAACCACGGCAAAGCCCACACCCACCCACCCACACACACACACCCCTGTTTTTGGCATGTTTTGTTTTGCAGCCACTGCCGAGCACCCACTAAAGAAAACTTCTCTGGTCTCTTGTTACTGTCCCTCCCCTCCCTTGGAGAGAGGGGTCCCCATTGGCCAAACCGGAGCCAGGGACCACCTCTACCTCCCCCCTCTGCTCCTTGCCAATCGAGTCCTGCCTGTCCCTCTTTCCTAAACTCAGCCTCCCTTTCAGTCTGAGTGTGCTTTAAAAAACAGGCTTTGGGGGAGCCTGGAGCAGCCAAGAGCTCAGCCTGCCTCCACCATGGAGCAAGCAAACTTCTTGCTGATTTTTCTCCTCCTCCTTGGGGAACAGCTGAGACCCTCACCGGCTTGCCAGCTGCCCACCGACTGGAGGCCACTCAGCGAAGGCTGCCGGGCAGAGCTGGCAGCCACCATTGTCTACGCCAAAGTCTTAGCTCTGCACCAGGACATGTACTACAGCATGTACAACTCTTTGCCCTGGCACTACGACGGCGCCATGGAGGGAGGGCTCTTTTACTCCGCCGAGATTGAGATGCTGTGCGACCAAGCTTGGGGGAGCATGTTGGAGGTGCCAGCGGGGTCTCGCTTCAACCTCACTGGGTTGGGCTACTTCTCCTGCCATTCCCACACTGTCATGCAGGATTATTCTTACTTCTTCTTCCTCAGGTGAGTAGCCACCTTTGCTCCTCTTTAGAAAGACAACCCAACAACAACAAGGACAGGGCACCTTCTGCCATATCAGGTGGACATGCTCAGAAGCTGAAAATGACTGGAGTAGAATTCATAAGTGGATAGAGGAAAGAACGAAAGAAAAATTGAATTCAGACCGGAACTGTTTCTATTAGGAATATTGAGGGGAGATCACACTAAGACGGATGTATATATTATTTTACATATAATAACAGCAGCCAGGATTGTGTATACACAGTGCTGGAAAGAGGGAAATATACCATCTGAGGGGACAGAGGTAAGAAAGATTCTGGGCTGCGCGGAGATGGACAGGCTGACTCAAGAGTTAAAAGATAGAAATGAAACGGGACTCCATCCCTGGAGGCTTTTAAGAAGAGACTGGACAGCCATTTGTCTGACATGGTACAGGATCTCCTGCTTGAGCAGGGGGCTGGACTAGAAGACCTCCAAGGTCCCTTCCAAATTTGTTGTTCTATTATGCTGTTATCCTTCCTTCCTTCCTCCATCCATCTTTTTTCCTTCCTTCCTTCCTTCCTTCCTTCCTTCCTTCCTTCCTTCCTTCCTTCCTTCTTTCCTCCATTCATCTTTTTTCCTTCCTTCCTTCCTTCCTTCCTTCCTTCCTTCCTTCCTTCCTTCCTTCTTTCCTCCATCCATCTTTTTTCCTTCCTTCCTTCCTTCCTTCCTTCCT